CATGGCACTGCCCAGTCCGTTGTTAGTGAGGTGGTGCCTGCCAAGGTGTTGCGGAGGATGCCAAAATCAATGACATTGCCAGAGTGGACGCTGCAATCCGGACCCGGGATGCCAAATTCGAACTTGGCGGGTAGCACAGCGCTGGCCAGGCTGTCAGGGTTGTTTTGCCAGTCACCAATGACCACATAGGGGTGTCTGGTGCTCTCCAGCAGTGCAAGCAGCTTCCCAATGATGGTGGCGTTGGTGTCACTTTGCAAGGCAAGCTTGTGACAAAAGATTCTACTGCCATGGGAATGGATGCCTCCTCAGGTGCATCCGGCTTGAGGGCTTCCGGGTGTGGCGTTTGGTTGGCCAGCTTCATGTATTGGTCAGAGCGCTCCTTTAGCTTCTGCTGCCCCTCATTGAGCTTGGTCTGGATGTCCTGCATGTCCTGCAGCCGTGACCTGCAGCTTGAGCTGTTGCGCGATGTCTTTCTCGGTCTGCGGCAGGGGTTTTGTCAACCGAGTTACGACTTCCTGGACCTCCTGCGGCAGGGCGGGGTGACATGTGAGTCTTCAAGAGGTCTGTCAAATCCTCTGGAGGCTGTGGCCCAAGTCCCAGGGTGCTGGATGTCTTCACAAATAACATCCCACGTACCTGGTCTTTGGGTTTGCGTAGAGGCTTAGGTCTGCTAAGACCGGGCGGTGTGTCAATCAAAGCCTCTTGATATGTCTTCTTTGGCCACGTCGTGTGCTTTGTGGTGTGTGGTGCTCTGCCTCCATGTCCTTGTCCCTTGCCCTTTCCGGTGGTGTTGGTGCCACTGCATGACTGGAAATAAGTTATGTTACTTATAGGTAAGTTATACCTTCGGTAACTGAACTTGTAATTCGATAACTTAGGCTTTAACTTCGATAAGTTAAGGTTTAAGTTGGCTAACTCTAGTTATACTTATAGAAGTTAAAGTATTTTATAAGTTAGTTAGTGTATTTATAAGTTAGTTATAAGTATTAGAGGGTTAGTTACTTAGAACATATAACTTATATCTTAGTTACAACTACTTAGTTGAAGTTACAACGAGTTAGGAACTGTTTGTTTTGATGGATTTTTGGAAAGCTTTTGGGCTCAAGGAGGAATTGTCACTGAGACACTGTATAGTGATGGCGGAACAACAGGGCAGGAGACAGCAGCAAGACTATGTCCGCTTGGATGAGTTTCTGAGTTTAGAGGACTGGCAACGGTTGGGAGCGACCAACTCCAACCGAGAGAAGTGCACATATCTGTGCGATGTGTTGTACCGGAGGGATTTCTATCTATATATAAAAAAATAAAGGAATAAATAAATTGGAAATATTGTATATATATATATATGTGTGTGTGTGAGTTACCCCACCTGCGTGGTGGCGAGTTATCCCACCTGCGTGGTGGCGAGTTATCCCACCTGCGTGGCGGTGAGTTTATCCCACCTGCGTGGTGGTGAGTTTATGCCGCCTGCGTGGTGGTGAGTTCATCCCACCTGCGGGGTGGTGAGTTTATCCCACCTGCGTGGTGGTGAGTTTTTCCCGCCTGCGTGTTGGTGAGTTATCCCACCGGCGTGGTGGTGAGTTATCCCACCTGCGTGGTGGTGAGTTTTTCCCACCTGCGTGGTGGTGAGTTATCCCACCTGCGTGGTGGTGAGTTTATCCCACCTGCGTGGTGGTGAGTTATCCCCCCTACGTGGTGGTGAGTTTTTCCCACCTGCGTGGTGGTCTATATATCCCACCTGCGTGGTGGTGCATATATTCCACCTGCGTGGCGGTGCACATATTCCACCTGCGTGGTGGTGCATATATTCCACCTGCGGGTCCATGTCGGTCAATGTCGGTCGATGTCGGACCCCGTTTTCAGAGGTGTTTTTTCACGCATGTCGGACCATGTCGGCCCCTACATAAGTAAATAAGGCCCGCGTCGAGACCCCCCCGAACACACAACGTCTGCCAATGTCGGTCCATGTCGGTCGATGTCGGACCCCATACGTAGGAAAGTGTTAAAAAACCATAGTTCTGTAGCGTGCTCTGGCTCGAACGTGTATCCGTTTAGCTCTATAGCAGCGTGCTGGACGTCTTGATGGCGGCAGTGGTCGAGGACATCCCGGAGCAGGAGGGACCGAATTCCCGGATGTGTAAGCTGTGCAGGCGCGACCTGCCCACAAGTTGGCTCCGGGACTCTGGAGACATGGACGCAAGACCGCAAGCAAGCCTTCTTCAGAAAGGCTTCTGATACCGCGCCGGATGGACGGTATGCCTGGGAGACAGTCAAGTCGGTTGTCGTTCATACGGAGGTCAAATCCGCTATGGACTCAAGTGAGAACCGCGTGACTGCACAGGCACTACCCCTCTTGGAACTGCAAGTTACTTGGGGACGTTTGCCTGCGTCTTCCGAGTCGCAGAGAGTGTTTTGCGATCCGTCGCTGGAACGTTCTCTGCGTGCCCGCAGCACGCTGGCGACTTTGCATGTGGGAGACCACGTCATCTGGCACTGGCACGGTGATGGTGGAGGAATGATCCGAGAGTTGGTGCAAACCAAAAAGACAACCCTCCGCTCCGCATGCAGCTCGTGACCCGAGAACCGTGGGGCTCTGTCTGGGACCTGACACCAGGGACACGTGGCACTGCGTGGACGAGGCGTCTCAGTGGACGACCGCGCGTTGGTGGAGAAGTGACGGGGCAAGGATCGCCTGCGTCCACTGAGCACTGCTGCGCATTGAAAAAGTGCGCCTGCGTGCTCCGCGTACCGAATGCGAAGGTCTAATTTTCAGAAAAATTAACTACTTAGCACCTACTTATAAACTACTTATAACTTACTTATCCTACTTATAAATTGTTTGTAAATAACTTATATGTAGAAGTTATAACTTCGTAACATGTAGGGTAACTTACATATATCTTCGATAACTCATTTCCAGTCATGCAGCATTTGTTTGCCATTGTCCACCATGTGCCACATCTTCTGCATCGCGTACCTGGTTGTAGTTTGTCCTGCCGTATCCAGTTCCTGCAAGAGCTGTGACTGCAGACAGTGTACGTCCTGCGCAATGTCGAGGCAGTGGACGGTGTCATAGGTCAGGATCTTGAGTGTCAGAGCCTGATTCCAAGTAGGCAAGGTGCTTGGCACGGTCCTTGAACTGGCCTAGGTCAGGCTCAACGTAAAAGTTCCAATGCCCTCGACGATCTCTAGGTGAAAGCCAGGCGAGCTCTGCCAGTCACCAAAGGTCTCTGCCAGAGTGAGGTTGGTGTTCTCGTGAGTTCACGGGCAAAGGACGGTGGTATATGTCCTTGTCCTGGGGCCGTCTGAGATGTCAAAGTGCAGGCAAGAGTATGAGTAGCGCTAGGGCTTTCCGCGCTGGCAGGTCTTGGTGGGCAGCCTGCTTGATCTCAAATGGCTTGAGCCTGTATGTATGTATGTATGTATGTATGTGTGGAATGGAATCGAATCGAATCGAATCGAATGGAATGGAATGGAATGGAATGGTATGGATGTATGTATGGATGTATGTATGTATGTATGTATGTATGTATGTACGTGTGTATGTGTGTGTATGTATGTATGTATGTATGTATGTATGTATGTATGTATGTATGT